GGATAAGGTGATGCGGGTCAGCTACCCAGGATGCTGTGGGGCGGAGGTCATGATGAGGTGATACTGGTCTGCTTAAGCAGAGTAACTAGACAGGTGTGCTGGAGATACTTGGAAAGCCTTCAATGTAGGAGAGACTTGTCCTTGTTCCTGAAACTGTTAACTCCATCCTGTCATAACACTGGGGGGTGAGACACAGATGGTGTTGTTACCCAGGTGAAGTTTCAGGGTTCCGAACAAACAGACAACAGTGCTATGCCCAGTCAAAAATCGTCAGTGCAGCTGAGCTTGTTAGGGATGACGCCTTGCTTGTCCGTGGCAATTCAAGGCCTTCTGTGGATTGTTTTAACTGTCTCTATTCGCCTGCGCTGCTTCCAGACAGGAGCTGTTCATTCCAGTTGGCATAGCCAGCAGAGGTCTTCTGTACTGCTTTTCTTTTTTTTTTTCTTTTGGCTATTTTTTTTATTTGTTTGTTTATAAACATTTCCACATCCTCCTCTCCTCCCCATACCCTCCCATTCCCCCCTACTCCCTCTCCTCCTCCCTCTCCAGTCCCAAGAGCAGTCAGGGTTTCCTGCCCTGTGGGAAGTTCAAGTTCCTCCCCCCTCCCTCCAGGCCTAGGAAGGTGAGCATCCAAACAGGCTAGGATCCCAAACAGCCAGTACATGCAGACGAAACAAGACCCAGTGCCATTGTCAATGGCTTCTCAGTCAGCCTCCATGTCAGCCACGTTGAGAGAATCCGGTTTGATCACATGCTCGTTCAGTCCCAGTCCAGCTGGCCTTGGTGAGCTCTCATTCGATCAGTCCCCTTGTATCAGAGAGTGAACGTTTAAGATCTGTCTGTATACTTGTCTGTGTGATGTGTGTGCAAGTGTGTGCAGATCAGAGGACAACTTTAGGATGTCAGTTCTCTCCTACGTGTTGAGGCAGGGGCTGTCTTGTTTCCGCTGGTCACCTTAGTCCGGGTAATTCTCCTGTTTCCGTTTCCTATCTCACCACAGGAGCACTGGGATAACAGATGGGTGCTGCCACATCTGACATTTTTTTCTCCCCTATCCCCCAAAGCTGAGGACTGAACCTGAGACCTTGTGCCTGCTCAGCAAGCATTCTACCCCTGAACTAAAGCCCCACCCCCTGAATATATTTATTTTTTGTCTTATATGCATTGGTGTTTTGCCTGCATGTGTGTCTACGTGAGGGTGTGAGAACCCCTGGAACGGAAGTTAGAGTTTTGGGCCGCCATTTGGGTATTGGGAATTGAACCAGGATCCTCTGGAAAAACAGCCAAGACTCTTGAACACCGAGCCTTCTCTCCAGCCCCACATCTGGCTGATTTTGTTGTTATCGTTGTTTTCTTTTGTTTTGCTTTGCTTTGTTTTTTTTTAAACATAGGTTCTGGGGTTTGAGCTCAGGTAGTCAGGTGTGTAGGAAAATCATCCACTTTCACACGCTGAGTCATCTCACCAGCCCAAGTCACTCCTTTTCCAAAGCCCACATCAAGTCTCCCCTGGCCACTCTACCTCCTCATGTAGGAACGAACCCGTCAAGGGGATATGGAGATGCTGATAGCAATGGGGTTAAAGCAGCTTGCTCCACCTTGGGTTTCCAAATTGCCACAGCCTCAAAGTGGTGAGGCAAACCATGGAATGAAACCTTTAGACCAGTGTGCCAAGGTAAACCTTTCTTATTTGCAACTTGGTCTACCCTCGAGTGTTTTGTTACAGTTAGTGAAAGCAAATATGCAGTCAAATCCCAAGTCCTGCTACCTTCAGCTGTGTGACCTTGGGCAAGTCATGTAACCTCAGCATCTCCTTTGTTGTAAGCATCATGGGGGTTCTATGAGAGTTAAATGAGCTACTGCAAACAGTCTCAATCCAGGGCCTGAGTTATAAAGTTATGGAGTCGAAGTGAGGAATTGTCCCCTCTGAGCCTTGGAAAGGCACTGATCATCTGCAAGCCATGTTATTATTTGGGTTGGAAGTTTAGCTGAGCAGTGGACTCAGGAGATGCACTTATTTGACCTGTCAAACAGTGTCCCCGTATGATTTTGTGGAGGGTAAGAATCGCTGTGTTTGCCGGCTGGACTCAAACTCCAGTTGACTGACTTGGAGCTAAGCAGCCACAGCCAGAATGGAGAGTAGAGTCCAGGACTGAGAATCCTGGAATGTCATCACTGTTAGGAAGAGGCCCTGCAACAAGGAGCCCCAGCCACGCACTTCAGAGAGGGGCCAGCCCAGGGCCTCTTGTTTATGACCACCCTCCACGCACCTGCCATTACTCACCCCCCCCCCCCCCCCGAGAGGTGCAAAAAGAAGAGCCGGCGCTTAGAATCGTGCCTGGAAAAGCCATGTTTCTTTGGAAATGGGCCACAGATGACGTAACCCTGTGGTATCCCATTACCTGGTTCCTTGGCTAATCTCTGTATAAAACTTGTTTAGGTGAAATTTGAGTCTGGAGAAGCCAGTTAAAGTACATTACTTTCTTGCTGTTGAATGCCTCTTGGCCTTGGGATAGCATTTAATCTAAAGAGTAAAGTGATATTTCCTGAGATAGCAATGAGTTCATGTTTGGAAATTAAACCAACTGAGTTTATTGCATCATTTTTTTTAAAAGTGCAAACTGTGGTAGTAGACGTTCTCTCTACCAAGTAGTGCCTAACCTGGCCGCTGCACTGGGACAGTGGGGAGCTATAGACACGGCAGTTTTCAACTCTTAGAAGCTGACCTACTGCCTCTCGGACTGTGTATTGTTCCAGCTTGAGCCATATTTTGGTCTAAGGGGGCTATCATTTGAATGCATAGTTTTCGGGCATAGGGAAACTCGACGGACAGGCCCATTGTAGGTCATGCTTCCGGAGTTTGTGCTACTTGCTCCCTGCCCTTTTATCCTTTGCAAGAGGCTTCCCTCTCGGTAATGGATGGATCTACAATGGGTCTGTCCGTCGAGTTTCCCTGAGCCCGAAAACTATGCCACTTTAGGCATGGGAAGGAGAGCGCTGCTTTTGGGCCTGGGTGGACAGCACACTGGCCAAAGAGGGGAAAGAATGAATGTGGGAAATTGGAGTATGAACCCTAACACCGTCCCTTATTTCCAGAAGTTGTGTATATTATAGCCATGTGAGAATCTGCATCTGATTGACTTAAATTCCTAAAAGGCCCTTGACAAAGACTGTCTGTGGTGCCATTCCGTGACATTTAAACTGCAAAGTCCTGAGACTAGAGAGATAGTTCAGTGGTTAAGAGCACTGGCTACTCTTCCAGATGACACAGGCTTGAGTCCCAGCACCCACATGGTGGCACACAACCACCTGTAACTTCAGTCCCAAGGGATCTGACACACCAGGCATGCATACAGCACAGACACACAGATAAGCAATACACCTAAAACATGTAAAATAAAAATGAAACTGCCAAGTCCTACTGACTGGGTCTACATGGCGATGGTTGTGGATAAAGAGTGTCATCTCACATGCCCTGCTTTTAACTGTGTCATCTGCACCCTGAGCACATGTGTAGACATAGAAGAGCTAATACTTCTCTTACTTGGAT